CCCCCCCCCCCCCCCACCCCACTCTGCAAGTGGAAGGTGATCTGATTTGCATATTCACATATGCAAATGAGACTCTCTCTTTGGGAGGGGCGCATGAATTTGAGGGGCTGGTTCTGGGAGAGCTGTCTGGGCTGGCTCCATAGCGCCCCCAAACTGCAAATGGCGGGGGGCAGCGAGGGGACATTGCATCTGAGCTTCCCCCCCACTTCCTGTCCCAAACCCTGCAGGCAGTACTGTTAAAATCAGCTGCCGCACCCCAGCCAGAGGTGGCTGCCTCTCCGTGGTGGGTGGGGTGATCCCTGCCCTGGCTCACAGCTGGGGGCTTGGGGGGGGGGAGGGGAGGGGCAGTAGGAGTATGATTCCGCTCCAAAGAAACCATCTCTTTCCCCTCTGGACCCAGACGGCTGGAACTGGGACAACTGGACCGGTCGGGACGCGGAGGGGGGCGAGTGGCCGGAGGAAGAGGGGAGCTACGAGCCGCACTGCGAGGACCCCAATTTCGTTGTACGTCCCTGGGGCTGAGACCCCGCTGAACTCATGACACTGGTGGCAGTGCTGGGTGACTCCAGCAGGGGGTGCTCCCGGCATGCCAGCGGGCACGTTTGGGGGCGCCCCACTTGGGGATCGGGGCCCGTGGCGCTGGGAGGTGCGGGGGGAAGGGGGGGGGCGTCTCCCTGAGCCGAGTGTGACGGGCGCCCTGGGGCGGTTCTGTCCCCAGATGGATGCGGATTACGACCCCCGCGTGCGGCCAGGCCCCCCCCGGAAGCGGCAGAAGGAGGCGCAGACGCTGCTGGGGAAGAGGAAGCGCAAGACGCGGTTCACGGAGGCCGTGGAGCGGAAGAAGCCCCCGTTCGACCCTGGTAAAGGGGGGCGCCATTGGGGGCGGGGGGGTTCTGCCTGGTGTCCTGGGGGGTCAGGCTCCTTGGGCCCAGCAGCCGTCCTGCCCCCCCGCCCCTCCCACCAGGAGCCATGTGCTGCCAGCCAGCCAGCCCCCTTCCCTGGGTGCCCCTAGGATGATTCCCCCCAGCTCCGCCCAGGCCGGCTCCGCACTCGGGGTATCCCCCTCTGGCTCCCTCCTGTCCTGCCCCCGCCCCCCCGGTACCCTCCATGGTCTGCCCCAAGGGCGTCCTGCAGCCAGGGGGCCCCAGCCCCCCCTCAGTCTGCCTCAGGGCCCCCCACAGCTGAGAGGGAACTGACCTGGGTGGGGTCACTGGGGGAGGGGGCTGTACTGGGGGTGGTGCCCTGGGCTGGGAGGGGGTTGCTGGACCAGGGAACCCCTGAAGCTCCCCCTTTCCCCCCCGTCCCCAGGGGCTGGCTCCTTCGAGCAGTACCTGGACGAGTATTACCGGCTGGACTACGAGGACCTGATCGGCGACCTGCCCTGTCGCTTCAAGTACCGCGCCGTGGTGCCCTGCGACTTCGGCCTCAGCACTGACGAGGTACTGCCATCCTGCCCCTCCCCTGGCGCCCGCCGTTCCACCCCTCCCCCGGCGCGCGCCCCTCCCTCACCCCTTCAAGTACCGCGCTGTGGTGCCCTGCGACTTCAGCCTCAGCACCCACCAGGTACCTGCCCCCTCCCCCGTCCAGCGCCTGCCGCCCCTTCCCTGCCTGGCACCCACCCCTGTGCTCCGCCAGCCTCCCCGCAGTTCTGGGCCTAGCCCGGCTTCTGTCCCAGCTCCAGGAGGGGAGTGGGGTCTAGTGGTCAGAGCAGGAGGGGCTGGGAACCAGGACTCCTGGGTTCTCTCCCCAGCTCTGCCCTGACTCTCTGACCTAAGGGGATCAGGCCTGTCCCTTCTCTGTGCCTCGGTTTCCCCCTCTGGATCTAAGGCTGATTCCCGGCTCCTGGGGGACCCTGCCCCTCACACGTCATGAACCTTCCCCCTCCTTTGCTCTCGCCCCCCATCAGATCCTGGCTGCTGACGACAAGGAGCTAAACCGATGGTGCTCGCTGCGCAAAACCTGCATGTACAGGTGAGGGGCTGGGGGGCCGCAGCACTTGGGGGATGGGACAGCAGCAGATGGGCCCCTGGCCCCGCTGGGAGACGAGGGGTGCTTCAAACCAGGACTTTGCTTTGCTCAGAAACCACATGCAGGGTGAGGTGGAATAGGACTCCTGGGTTCTATCCCTGGCTCTGGGAGGGGCGTGGGGTCTAGTGGTTAGAGCAGGGGGGAGGCTTGGAGTCAGGACTCATGGGCTCTGTTTGTGCCTCAGTTTCCCTCTCTGGCGCTCTGCCATAGCATTGCCGGATTATCGTCCATGTCCCGTTCACACGCTGCCGGGCTGATTCTCCCGTTCCCCAGCTCTCAGCCCTTCTCCCCCAACGAGAGGCCCCGGAGGGTGACCCCTGGGTCCCTCTCTGTGGGTCAGTATCTGAGCCCTCCTGCCCCGCGTCTCCCCGCAGGTCGGAGAAGGAGGAGCTCCAGGACAAGGCCACCTATACCCGCAAGGCCCAGAACACCGGCAAGAAGGAGCAGATCCTCAAGTCCCTCTCAGCTGCGTACGTACCCTGGGCCTGGGCTCCAGCAGGGGGCGCCAGCGCTGAGTCCCCCACGCTCCCGCCGCGTGATTTGAACCCTTCACCTGCATGGGAGCTCGTCTCTAACCACGTTTTTTTGGCTGGGAGTTTCCTTGGTTTTTAGGAGTTCCAGGGGGCTGCTGGATGGGCCCCCCCAGCTGCTGCCCATTCTATGGGGCTCTGGGGGGCTGGGCCCCTGGCAGGGAATCTTAAGCGCACTGGGGTTTCAGAACTGAGGCTGCTCTGCGGAGAGCATGTTCCCTCCTCTGCCCCCCGCTGTTTGGGCCTGTAGGTCAGCGCCCCCCTGCCAGGCTGTCCCCAGAGGAGCAGGCTGGGAGGGCGGGGGGCAATGCCCCTGAGCCCGTCGCCTCATATAAGGGAAATGCTGTGTTCACGTGGGGCACCGTGGGTCGGTGGAACTCCCTGCTACATGATCCCAGGGAGGCCAAGAGCGTGAAAAGCCTGGATGCTTGTATTTCTCCTGCCTTCTGTAGGGCGTCTTGCACCTTCCGCTGGTCCTGGCCCCTGCTGGAGACGGGCTGGATGGGCTCCCGATGCCTCTGTTCTCGGGGCCGCAGGCCTCGCAGGGGGTGGGTGGCTCTGGCATGGCAGGGCTGAATTCGCACAATGCCCCCGGCTTTTCACCTGACCCCTCTCCTTGTCCTGCAGCGCGGAGGAGGCCGGCGGGGCCGAGCGGCGGCCCAAGCTGGGGAAGAAGCACCAGGACAAGGCGAAGCGGCAGCAGCCGGAGCAGGAGCCGCCCGGCGCCGGCCTGGCTGAACACCAGGAGGATGAGGGGCCCCCAGTGCCCACGGCAGGGGCCCTCAGCCCCACCCTGCAGCCTGGGGGCCCCGAGGGGAAGGCCTCCCCTGGGCCCCAGGACACGGCTCCCAAGGCAGGGCCGTGGCGGAAGCGGCGGGGGCGGAAGGGGCTGCTGCTGGGCGCCAAGGTGCGGGTGGGCGGGCGGGAGTTCAGCGGGCAGAGGCTCCAGGCCTACGGGCTCAACCCACGCCGCCTGCACTACCGCCAGCTCCAGCGCCACACCAGGAAGCGGCCAATGCAACAGACTCAGCGGGCCCAGGCGCCCGGACGCCAGGGGCCTGTGGACAAAGCCGCCCGGGCCTGAGCACGGAGAGGAGCCAGGGGCTCGC